ATGACAATTGCGATTAGCTTGGTAAGTAGTTCCTCCCCTCTCTTTCCCCTTCTCTATCTGTCTCCGACTATTCATGGTCCTCTGTCTCTCTCCGGTGTATGAACACTTAGTGCTGAGAGACGGGAGACTCCAAGCCAAGCACCTACAAACTGTTAGTCTCATAGGTCATATTTCTTGTAAAAGGATATCTTACCAAGGCAGATCTGCTGGGAATATAGACGTGAGTCCAGTTCTTCCGGTTGTTCCACTCCATGGCAGTGGTGAAGAATCGAGTTCCCTCATCCACCCGCGCGTGACCTCCAAAGTCTTTCGAGTCAGTGTTGAGAATAACCTTGTAAGAACCGGGCACTTCAATGCCGATTCTGTAATCGGCGAAACTCTCGGTGGGATTGAAGTTGAAAATGAAGACCACGCCAGCCCTCTCAAAGACGATGACCTTGTCAGTCTCGTTCTTGAGAGAGATGTATGCCTGAGGCGCAGCCAACCAGCCGTACTTGCCCTCGGTGGTGTTCATTGCGCGATCAAAGTTGTTCAAAGATTGGTAACGGAGCAAGTTGTCATCAGTAAGGTTCAGCTGGCGTCGAGCATACCAGAATGAGTTCTGGTTACCCTCGCGCGGGAAGTCGAGCCACTCGGGATGGCCAAATTCGTTGCCCTCAAAGTTCAGGTAGCCTTCGCCGCCGAGACCGTGGGTCAACAGACGAATCATCTTGTGGAGGGCCATGCCGCGGTCAATGACTGGCGTCAACGGGGTCAAGGTTGACATGTTTGTGTACATCTCGGCATCGCAAAGATGGAACATGAGGGTCTTGTCACCCACGAGCCTGATTCAGTTAGCTTCAAGTGTCGTGAGTTTCGTACAAAGGGGTAGCTTACGCTTGGTCGTGGCTTTCGGCATAGGCAATCGTCTTCTCGCCATGTCTCCGGTTCGTCAGGGTGAAGCAGATGTTGGCAATATCCCAGTTCTCGTCCTTTGTCTCCTTGAGGATCTTGATCCACATATCCGGGACAGCCATGGCAAGTCGATAATCGAAGCCGACGCCGCCGAGGGAGAGCGGAAGGCAGAGAGCCGGCATACCAGAAACATCCTCAGCGATGGTGATAACTTCCGGATACAAGGAGTGCAGTAACTCGTTCGCGACCATGAGGTAAGCAATAGCCTCCTCATCAGCGTCCGGTCCGAAGTACTCGTGGTAGCCTCCAGAAAACCCGCTGTGGGCGTTAGCAAAGGTACTTGAAGAGTGATCTCAAACATGTTTAGCCACTTACGTTCCGATGCCGTGATGCAAGTAGAGCATGCTCGTCACACCGTCGAATCGGAAACCATCGAAGTGGTACTCGTCCATCCAGAATCGCAGGTTGCTGAGCAAGAATCTCATAACTTCGTGGTGGCCGTAGTTGAACAGCCTGCTGTCCCACAGCTCGTGGTGACCACGCGCTCCCTCGTGGAAGTACTGGTGGTCTGTGCCGTCGAACTCATTGAGTCCATCCAAAACGTTCTTGGAGGCATGGCTGTGAACAACATCGAGAAGCACAGTGATTCCCATGCTATGAGCTACGTCGACCAATTCCTTGAGGTCTTCCGGTGGTCCGTAACGACTGCTAGCGGCGAAGAAGTTGTTGATCTGGTAGCCAAAGCTGGCATAGTAGGCATGCTCCATAACTGCCATGAGTTGAATAACATTGTAGCCAAGATCTCGGATTCTGGGCAACATGTTTTGGGTGAACTCCTTGTAAGTTGCAACGCGCAACTCGGGTGATGAGATTCCCACATGGGCCTCATACACGCGGGCACTACGAGGTTTTTGCGGCCTCGGGTACTTGAATTCGTACTTTTCTCCCGCAGGAGGGTTCCAGAAGCGAGCATCGTAGGCTGGGGATACGGACAGATCTTGCGTCACGTATTTGATCCACGCGGGCAGCCGGTCGATGCGCTCGCCACTGGGGAGTTGCAAGGAAATCTGTGATGATATGAGCCCAACCACATCTCACACACATTGTGAACTGAGCGTACCTTGACTTTGGAGTTGTGGGGGATTGCAGCCTGGCCATTGGCAGCGGGAAGAGTGATTTCGAAGACTCCGAAGCCATTCTTCTTCATCTCATGAGAGTTCCGGTCCCAGTTGTCTGTCATCACCCAATCAGCATGTGCCGGTAAACTGAATGCGAATAAACTCACTAAAGTCACCAGTCAGGAAAGCCTGAGTGGCGTTGGGTGCCCATTCTCGATAGACGATGTTGTTGTCATGGTCGACATTGAACCCAAAGATTGAGGTACCCTATAACTCGACTTAGCTCTTGCACCGAAAATATGAGCTTACTTGAACTTACCTTGGAGAACTTCTCGAGCCCACCCTCAGTGTCATTGATTTTCTTGATCCAGTCCTGAGCGCGGGAGTAGCGCCTCTTCAAGGATTCCTGGAAAGGCGACAGCCAGGGGTCAAGCTTGACAACGCCTAACACGTTTTAGCCAATGGTCCTACAAGGAGATATTGCCAGGGTGCTCACCAGTGCCGTCGGTTGGGAAGCCCTCGGCAGCGCCGCTCGGCCCGTCCAGCGCGATGGAGTTGGCAGAGTTTTGGGCAACAGCGGCCATGTTGATTGATGACGATGGAGCTTGTGGTGGTAAGACGAAGTTAACGGTGCGGGGCAGAACCGCGGTGGTTTGAGCTGAACTCGATCTAAAGTAGGGCAGATAAAGCACGTCAGGTGTCGTTCAAAGATGGTCGGCAATATGAAGCAGGGTAAGGTGAGAAAGAAAGAGGCAGCGAGGGCGCGGATTGGAAGCAATGGAAAGCTCCCCGCACAAAATGTTGAGGTAAGGTGAGGTGAGGTGAGGTAGGACAGCTATGTGACGGCAGGGCCAAGTACCTGAGCTAGATGGAGATTTCACGCCTTTCCTAACGTAGGTCGGTAGGGGTCTGGAGCTAAGCAAAGAATGCGCAGATTGGAAGCAATCTCTGCAGGAATTGAGCGAGTCTGGGGTTCTCGATCAAGCGTTGGATGTTGGATTTGGTATAGAGAAGAGGTCGGTCGATAATGTCGAGCAGGAAGATGCAAGGGAGAGAAATGAACACAGATGGTTGCTTTCTTGGACAAATGCCAGTGACAGTTTGTTTGGATTGCCTGATAGTACCCCCGCACTGCCGGGATAAGCTTGGGATGGGGTTAACCTTCCAAACCACAGGACTAAAGATGGGAAGGGAGAGAGCTCAAGGTATATCAATTGGTGCTGTGCATGATATGACGTCGTGGGGCAAGGCAGCTGGAAGCTCGCATCTCGCAAAACCAGCCCGGCCAGTACACTACTATGGCAAGGTAGCGAAAAGTATTACCCCATACATCTCGATAGGAGGAAGCACCTGGCACCCACGGGGCAAAGGTCCAGGCCTTCCTCTAATCACCTCACTGATGGACCATGGTTGGCCTGGCTGGCACGACCAATTCAACGAGAATTGCTGCTCCATCGGAAGTGGCAGGGCGCTAAGGCAAGGTAGGAACGAGGAAAAATATGCTGCCGCCACTCGAAACCCCTCCCTGGGGATGCCTGCCTTGATGCATCTCAATTCTCAACAACAAAAATTCACCGGCCGAATCAAAACAGGTGGATGGACGACCAAGGCGCCGCGCAGCCGATTGGACTCATCGCCACCTCCGGAAGTGTGGTTGGCCCCCAGCACACCCACAGCACACATCCAGTTGATCCAGCCTGAGCCCAAGGTAAAAAATGGTACGCTGAAGGTTGAGGCACTTCTTTTAGCGGCTGAAACTCCACGTAGGTACTCGAATTTGCTCGGCAACCCCGTCTTCTCACTTGATGGACTGATGGAGGCGTTGCTTGCTCGTCTGTTTGCCGGTTTTCGCACCTTGCTCCTTTGAGGTGAGGAAAAGAGGGTAACGTCGATAGGTAATGCCCTTCATCGACCAGTAAGAAGAGGAAGAGGGGAACAGGGGAGACGAGTACGAGTTATCAATATCAGCGTTGGTGGGACCGATATGTCGTTATCGTCGCCAAATGCCATCACCGATACGTCGTGGGCCCTCCGAGAATTGCATGCCAGACGCACAGTGGTGGAGCTTTTCTGCTAACATGAACTCTGGGGTGGGCTAGAGGCGTAACTTTGTACGGATAGTCTCAAGGGAATCACACCAGATGCATCAGTCGTCCAACACATTCTCTATCCATATTTCTGCAAAATGATAGGTACGACAACTTACACGGCTGAAGTCAAGGGGGGAAAACTTCAACAAACGCACTAGATAGGCCGACGTTGAATTTCACGGTCCGCATTTGGAAACCGTTAGAGACGGCTATTTCCTGGACCTATCAAAACGCCCTTCAAGCTGAATTTCTTCACCACTACAATACCCATCCCCATCTGTCTTCGGGGTTTCATCGTGAAGCCTCATTTCTCAGCTGCAGTGGAAAGCCACAACCACCTACAATGCCCGTTCATTTGCCTAGATATATATAAATGGCCAGCCCAGATTCGGATATGGGCATGGGGCACACGGTACCTTACCCAAGTACGCACCATGAGCTTGATAAGTCCTATCTGGCTCGAATACCACTCCTAAATAGGTCATAACCCACGATATGCCAGTGATCGCGTCCGGGGTATTGCAAGCTAACGCAAGCTTCGATGCAATGGGAATTGACTTTAGGAAGGTGAGCAATCTAGAAACCATTCTCGAACAACGAGCTGATAGCTGGGAGCTTTCTCCAGTGTTAGCCGCTCCTAAGCGCTATTGCGCTGGAGCTCCAGCTCCTCAACCCCGCATCCGGGCCACACGAACACCGACAGCTCTGAGCAAGGTCCCTTACCCGGCCTATCTATCGTGCCAGCCACACTCTCATGACATCCCCTCCGGTCGCCGGACTACCCGTCATCACCACCGACATCCCCCAAACACACAAAGGCCAAGATCGATATCGACGAGCTTTACGAACAATCACAGCGGCACTCTGATTATGGTCCCTTGACCGGGCGCCCGAAACAATGGCTCTATCCACGAGGCCACAGGCCTACACATGCGCCCGATGCTTACTCCTCTCGAGCGCTAAGCGCACCTTCTCCGCCTCCTCCGCTGCTCGAACCGCACCGAGACGTACACAGGACTTCAACTCTGGCTTCACGAGCAGCTATGATCCGACTAGTGATACTGGACGTGGGCCCATGTTCAACAAGAACAACTTCGGAGTTCCGCAGTTCTATCCCCGAGATCTGAAGAAGCGTGTGGACGACTATGTCGTAGGCCAAGATCGAGCGAAGAAGACAATCTGCTCCACCATCTTCAACCACTATCAAGGGGTCCGGCGGAGAAGACATCAGGAACATGAGGAGAAGCTCCAGAGGGAAAAGGCCGAGAGGCAACGCTATGCCCGAGACAGAGATATTCTCGAGAGGCGTGACATCCATCCTGTTCAAGGTCAGCGAGGTCGTCAATCTGCCTTCCAGCGCTTTCCTGCTGATGACGAGTGGCCCCAAGACGAGTTTCCTGGCCATGCTGAATCTACACAGCACCTAGACGAAGGCTATGAGTCGTCTACCGGTTTCGACGGGTCATATCTTGCCGAGGAACCTGCAACCCCTGCTCCAGTCAAGATTGACAAGAGCAACTTGCTGCTCATCGGCCCTACCGGTGTCGGAAAGACGTATATACTAGAGTAAGCTTGCCATGAACACCCTCAATGCCTGGGAGAAGTCTAACATGTAAAAGGACTCTAAGCAAGAAGCTCAATGTACCGTTCACGATATCCGATTGCAATGGACTCACCCAGGCCGGCTATATCGGACAAGATGTCGAAACTTGCGTAGAGAGACTATTGATCGAATCCAATTACGACATCAAAGCTACAGAGCAGGGCATTATCGTCCTGGACGAATTTGATAAGCTGGCGAAGAGGGAGAGCATGAACGGACGCGACGTTGGTGGAGAAGGCGTTCAACAAGCTTTACTCAAGCTGGTCGAAGGCTCTAAAGTTACCATCAACGTCAAGGATAACCGCTCGTCACGATCGACACCGCCCATCACAACAAACTACACTTCTTCGAGCTCAACGTCAGCGCCCCAATCTACCCCGCCCCAAGGAAAGGTCGACCAGTACACGATCGACACTACAAACATCCTGTTCGTCTTTTGCGGTGCTTTCGTTGGTCTCGACAAGGTTATTGTACGGAGAGTATCGAAACCGTCCATGGGCTTCGGTTCAGAGCTGAAGGGGAAACATGGCCTCGCCGGAAACCAGCACGACTTACCGCGCGAGTCGTTCTCGCATCTGCCGCATGTTGATCCCGAGGCACCAGCATCAGCATACACTCCCTTGGACCTCACAACGCCAGTGGATCTGCAGGCCTTTGGGTTCATCCCCGAACTGATTGGCCGAGTACACAATATCTGTGCACTTAGTCCTTTGTCTTTGAATGATCTTTACAGGATTCTAACAGAGCCGCGCAACTCTCTGGTTGCGCAATACACCGCTCTGTTTGAAACGTACCCTTCCAAGTTACACTTCACGCAGAAAGCCTTATACGCAATTGCGGAACGGGCTGCGAAGGCCGAGACCGGAGCTCGCGGCCTCAAGATGGAGATGGAGAGAGTTTTGGCAGAGCCGATTTTCGACGCGCCGATGTCTTACGTCCTGATCACCGAAGGTTGCGTAAAGGGGACCGAGAAAGCTGGATACTGGGGCAAGGACGGCCGTATGGAAATGGAGCGGCGGATGGCCGACGAGGACGCTGAACCTGGATCGCGGCCACACGATGTCACCTTTGAGCAGTATCGCGAAGCTGGCCAGAGTGGCGCATGAGGCTGTCGCAAGCAACGACCTCGAGTTATATATATGTCCCTTGCTTTGGAGTCCTGGAGTTGACTAGGTGACTAAGTTGAATTAATGATGCACGGGAATGGATAACTCATTACTCGTCAATCGTGAGGGACTTGAATAGTATTTAAGAAAATAAATCCTCATTGCTGCAGCATTATGTTCATGTAGATACGACTGGCGAGAACTGAAAATGCCATTGAGCGGAGTTGCGATCTATTGTCAAGAGTTTCAATGCGGACGTTATGTTGTCGGCGGAGACACCTCGGCTCGGACGGACATGGCGATGTTCGGAGGGGAGGAAGGGAGTCAGGGACTGAGGCAGTGAGGCGTGCATGCAACTTAGCTGGCACCTGGGGGCGACGGATCTCATCACCCGGGGGATCGGGGACACGTAGGCATTGGGAGCCCGCACCGGAGTCCTATCTCTTCTTCAGTGCCTGGAGAGCCTGGGAAAGGCAATAAGGCCCCAACATTTGCAAGATTCACCCGCAGTCCCCACGCCGAGTGGAATCCTTCAATTCCAGGTTGCACGGCCAAGTTGAAAGGAAGTTTGGCAGATTCGAGCCAGGCCAAAAAAAAAGTTTCCCGTCATTTCCTGAGGACGAAAGCTCCAAGGCGTGCCAGGCTGGGTGCTCCAATTGAACCCGAGCGTGGACCCGGTGTATCCCGGAGAGAGGAGCTCGCCCGAATTGAGGTTAGCGCAGCGAGGTAATTTTTCCTACTGGATTTCCGGTCACGTGACGCCCCCCGAGCAAAGCTCTAACCGACGAAGCGTACATCCCGAGCAAAACTGCTCACTTCCTCCTAAGTCCTCCTCCAACTTTCAACCATCACCTCTCCACTCCCATCCGAAGTCGCCCTTAATCATCTGTGAAGATGTTCAAGAGGTTGGTACCAACTACCTGATCGAATTTTTGAACCGTCTCGCGTTCAATTGGCCCCAATTGAGCTAACCGGTCCTTCGCAGCGGCATTTCCTCCTTCGCCCGGGCGGCTCGCCCTTCCTTTGCGGCGACCGCTCCTCGCGCCATCAGACCTTCAGCCTTCAGATTCCCTGCCTCCAGCAGATTCGCCAGCACTTCCGGTGTCGGTGATGGAAAGATCTACCAGGTGAGTGATGGCTTTGCCCATCCCTTCCGTTGACCCGAGGGCGATGTAGGTTACTGACAACAACAAACCAACAGGTCATTGGTGCCGTCGTCGACGGTTCGTACTCACCGAAGAAAAGCCTTCAAAGGGGCTCGACCATCACGAAAATCATCAATACTGACACGTGGATACAGTCAAGTTCGACACCGCCAAGCTCCCTGCCATTCTGAACGCCCTCGAGACGACAAACAACGACCAGAAGCTGGTTCTTGAGGTCGCGGTACGTACCTTTGGCGGCTGGAAAAATATCCACTGCAAATCAGCAAAAGTCGAGTTTCATCTGACACGTCTGCACAGCAACACTTGGGTGAGAATGTCGTCCGCTGCATTGCCATGGACGGTTCGTATTCCCTCCCCTGAAAAAGTTTTTCGCGCTCGTACTCACGATCCCCCTAGGTACCGAAGGTCTCGTCCGTGGCCGCCCTGCCACCGACACTGGTGCCCCCATCACCATTCCCGTCGGTCCCGCGACTCTTGGCCGTATCATCAACGTCACTGGTGACCCCATTGACGAGCGTGGCCCCATCAAGACCGAGAAGCGCCTTCCCATTCACTCCGAGCCCCCTGAGTTCATCGACCAGTCCACCACCGCCGAGGTTCTCGTCACTGGTATCAAGGTCGTCGATCTCCTCGCTCCCTACGCTCGTGGTGGAAAGATTGGTCTCTTCGGTGGTGCCGGTGTCGGCAAGACCGTCTTCATTCAGGAGTTGATCAACAACATCGCCAAGGCCCACGGTGGTTACTCCGTCTTCACTGGTGTCGGTGAGCGTACCCGTGAGGGTAACGATCTGTACCACGAGATGCAGGAGACTTCCGTCATTCAGCTTGATGGCGAGTCCAAGGTCGCCTTGGTGTTCGGTCAGATGAACGAGCCCCCAGGTGCTCGTGCCCGTGTTGCCCTGACTGGTCTTACCATTGCCGAGTACTTCCGTGACGAGGAGGGACAGGATGGTGAGTTGAGAATCCGCTCTTCTTGATATTGAATGCATGGCTAACAAATTCCCAGTGTTGCTCTTCATTGACAACATTTTCCGTTTCACCCAGGCCGGTTCCGAGGTGTCTGCCCTTTTGGGTCGTATCCCCTCTGCCGTCGGTTACCAGCCCACCCTCGCCATCGACATGGGTGGTATGCAGGAGCGTATTACCACCACCAAGAAGGGTTCCATTACTTCCGTCCAGGCCGTCTACGTCCCTGCTGACGATTTGACTGATCCCGCCCCCGCCACCACCTTCGCTCACTTGGACGCCACCACTGTCTTGTCTCGTGGTATCTCCGAGTTGGGTATCTACCCCGCTGTCGACCCTCTTGACTCCAAGTCTCGTATGCTGGACCCCCGTATTGTCGGCCAGGACCACTACGACACCGCCACCCGCGTCCAGCAGATTCTCCAGGAGTACAAGTCTCTCCAGGATATCATTGCCATTCTTGGCATGGACGAACTTTCTGAGGCTGACAAGCTCACCGTCGAGCGTGCCCGTAAGATCCAACGTTTCCTGTCCCAGCCCTTCACCGTCGCCCAGGTTTTCACTGGTATCGAGGGTAAGCTGGTCGACCTGAAGGAGACCATTGCCTCCTTCAAGGCCATTCTGTCTGGTGAGGGTGACAACCTTCCCGAGGGTGCCTTCTACATGGTCGGTGACTTCGCCTCGGCCAAGGAGAAGGGTGAGAAGATTCTGGCGGATTTGGAGAAGAACTAAACGATTCGCGACGAAAAATACCAAATGACGTCGAGAGTTGGGGCGTTGAAGCCTGTGTATAGAAGAGGAACGATGGAACGGGGAGGTTTCTTAGCTCAATCCAAGTCTCTTTTGTGAGCTGTGTACCAAGAAATCTACTTAATTCCTCTTGTAGTTGAGAGAATCTCCTTATTTCTTCAGCCGTTTTCCCTCCATGCTAGTGATATGCTATGCCTGCCGCCTAGTGACATACTTCCTCGTGATTATTTATTTTGTTCATGATCAGTAGAAGTGTTCCACTCCCACGTCCAGAGGTGCTCATGCTCCCAATGTATAAATGACAATGGTCCTTGCCCAAGGTTGCTAATCTACGCAACGAGATGATGCCGTTACTTAGCCAGCAAGACCTGAAGCAGTTACACCAATGACGCCGTCTTGACATGGAATAGTGAAGACCTAGAGCTGCTGGAGGAAAGTCACTACCAAGTTTGAATCTTGTACTTTCTAGGCGCTGGCATGTTTGCTCACAGCGTGTAGTGGTATTCCCACTGGCTTTCAGGTTAACTGTTTTCCCTCGATGGGATGGTTCATGATGGCAACGCGCTTCTCCGACCGGAGCACTTGTGGCATACGATAGGTAGCTTGCGCTTAGCTGAGCTGTCCTACGTCGTCTTGGAGGATGTTAGCTCAATGAGAGGCATGTCGCCGTTGGCATGGGGCTATTCAAGCAGAGACTGGGTTGTGGCTGGATACTTGGAAAGAGACAAACACACATGCGAGCGCATGACCCTCTTGCTTGCGTCTGTCGTCCTGGGTCGTGAACTTGGGCCAAGTCAGGCCGTTTCTTCCGCCCTTGGCCTTCCAAGTAGGGCTGTAATTCCTCTTCTATTTCGTACCAGTGCTCTCCGAGGTCCTTGTGTCTATGTAGTATGATCCCGTCGGAATCCACGGAGAGTGATGTAAAAATAGCGAAGAGGTCGGTACAGCTTTTCTAGTCAGGGGAGTTGGAACACCCTTGCAGAATAGGACGGACAATGCGAGCCTTGGGTTATTTCGCGTAAAGGAGTCCGACGAAGATTTACTCGAAAGCAACTAGAAGCAATCGATGGCTCTGATAGATCTTCCTACCTAGCCGGCGAGTCCGTTCTTATACTCGTGATCGGGAGAACGTAAGGGTTCGTTCGGCTTGTATCTTTGCAGGGACGAGGCCATATTAGACATAAGCTACCTCTAGGGCTAGACAATGGCCGTATCGGAAAACTAGTATAGGTTCTGACGCCTGGTATGATTCGACGCTTGTTAAAAAAAACCCCTTTGAATTCACGTTACTTGCAACTTTGCCTCGGAGGCAAGTCAGTACCTAAAATTCCGTCGGGTCTATCTAGCTAGACCTCGGAGTCAAGACAAGACTGGCACTCTCAGAAGTGCTTTGACGATGCAGGACATTTCTGGTACGTTCAAGAAAGTAGCACGTCATTCATCAGCTTTTTTGAGGGGCAAATGCGAGTGTATGCGTGGTTGCGGTCAGAGGGAAACCTCAAACGCGCAAGTTGCTGGACTTATGGTAATATCTATATTGAAGTTTGCTTGCCAAGTGTACCTGTAGCCTCAAGTCTACCTTAGGGTAAGATCAGCAATAGCCGAACTTCGAAGCAGTCGTAATGTCACATTTTTCTTTATTGACAAAGCATCATATAGGGCAAAGTCAAATATCAATAGCTATAGGTAGGAGGGTTATAGAGCAGGCGCAGCTAGCTAAGTCGACTTCGTTCTGTCAAATAAGTATAGATGCAAAGAGAAAACATCCAAGGGAGCAAATACAAGCCAGTCACTCCCCCAAGCTTAATCCAGGAAGCTATGAGAAGTCGTAGGTTCATCTACAAAGATGCCTACGATAGACTAATACTTCATCATCCCCAACAACGGTAAAGGCATTGCCCATGACACCTGAAGTCTAGACAGTGGAAGGGAAGAGCACCGGCCTATTTCCTAGGCGAACGGGGGGGGGGGGTTAACGATGGTTAGAGATCAACACCGACGACGAACAAAAGAGCCTCTTCGCCCTTGACAAGAGACTGGGGACTAACCATATAGATGGCAGATGTGAGGAGATCTGACAGTCTTCTCGCAGGGACGAGAATCGTTGTCATAGTATATAACGGATCTCTACAAGCAGTAAATGGTGAGCCGATCAACTTTGCCATCGCCAGTCTTGGTAAAGCGGGACTGGAAGAGACGCAGGCGCATGCTTTTGATCGTCCCTGATAACCAGGAATATGGCGGTGCGCTGCTCGTGATCAATTTTTGTCCGTAGTCCCCTTACTAAGTCTCACTTATTATATACTGCCAGTTCTCATCTGTAGTCACATCTTATTCCGAACGTATACGTAAACGGATACGTCGCAACCACTCAAGCGAGGCTCATCTATACCCAAGTCTCGTTTTAACGTATTCGTGAACGGATACTTCGAATCCACTCGGGTGAACCAGATAGAGAGGAGAAGAACTTTTGCAATGGTGCTTGGGAGAAAAATATCTGCATTACATTTCCCTTGGCTCCTTTAAATAGGTCAGTCTTGCCTTAGCCTCATTGTGCCCGGATCGGTCTCCTTTCATTCAGCATAGCACTCTAGCCAACATGGACCAAAAGGATGCCGACGTGGCTACATTCAGCCGTTCAGCGGTCTGCGTTTATATATTGAGCGAGTATCTTTGCTCACGTGATTGGTAGTCAAGTCGAAGGGAGGTTCGTTCCTTTCTGGTTTTTTTTTTGTGTGTTGGGATGTTGAAGTTCGGCACTTACTTAGTCAATTTTGTGAAGCTTGGATGAAGGTAGGTGAATGACTAGTACTGTGTATGTGAAGTTTCTTTGAGAAGCTCACTTGCAATGCAGTCACAGCTTAGAATTGGTCCTGTTCATAGTCTTGGAGGGAGCGCTTCGGACTGAAAGATCGGAAGACACGACATACTAGATGATAGAATCCAGGTAAAGAAACTGACTTGGAGGGCTTCAGCTGGCCATACAGGAAGGAGGCCATGGATGTATACAATGCTTAGGAAGTCTTTTGTCCTTGTTGTTTTCATCCTCTTTGGGACCTGAAGAGGATACCTTACAACACAAGGCTGGGGAGACTGTGGATGAAAAGTGCCGCCCACCTGTGAAGCTATCACATACTCCGATATGAGGGCTTCGATAAAGTAGGTAAGTGGAAGCCAAATTGATCTCAGATTTGAGTTCTCACCTGGCAGGATCTCCTCTAAGAAGCACATGCTCAGCTCCAGTAAGGAGGTAATGAGCCTTGTTACATTGTTTGCTCCTTACGAAGCAAAGTAGTAGCACTGAAGTTGCCATTCGTAGGATCATATCGAATCATACAATTCCCATTTCACGCAAGTAAGTACGTACAACTGTTCCCACGGGACGATGAAAGCTGACAAACGCCGGATCTTCTCTATCTTTCTCCAGATATAAACCTATAAGCGCAGACCACCGATGACATTTGCTCTTGGAAACCCGGGAAGTATTTACTTGGAAGCAAAGACCGCTGCGGTACAGAACCCGGCGATTCCGAGGGACGTTTCTCGGAGTCGTCGAACAAGGTACCGTCTTCGGTTTTCTGGGTCGTCTCTTCTAATGGACTTTCCTCCAGAGCTGGTGTCTCATCCGTGTAAAACAACTTCTTGCTTCCAACAAGTAGGATAAAGCTCGACAACATGAAACTATAGTAGTCAAGGAAGTTTGGACATGGGCACCCAGTACATCTTCCAGCATCTGAGCTTTGGTCCATGATTGTATGGTATCAGTAGCAGTAAAGATATTGAAAACATATTATGCACCGAAAGAACCGTGTTCATCAATGTGGCACACTGCCACCGACTTTCCTACTACTGAATTGAATGGGTATCTGTCGCAAGAACAATTTTCCCGTCCCATGCAGTCACCAAGCCAGGGAACCTCCATAAACCAAGCTCTTTTCATGCCTCTGAGATACCTGATACCCCAGGGCAAGATCATCCATATTAAATCTCCTTTCATCATAATCATCATCCTTCGTGAAGAAGCCTGAACAATGGCAATGTCTTTCCCCTTTATGCGCCGTTGTTACCCCCATTGGCGGAGCCAGTGGAGGCAGTATGGTGATGCCCAAGACCCAACACTCTTTGAAGGCTCTTCCTAATACCCTTCCCGGTGCCGTCGTCCTGAGCCTCAGCCGCCTTCTCTCCTCTGCCCAAAAAGCCGAAGCTCATCCTCCGAGTGGGACTCGGGCCCTGCCCGTCCGCCACTGACTTCTTCCGCCGTCGTACGGCCACAATACCAGGCTCCGCGGCTGAGGGCTTCGGTGGCCACTCGCCGTCCCGCTTCCAGCCAACCACACACGCCCGGATCATGTCTGACAAGTTGACGGGACATGAAGGTGTCAGCGCGTGCACAATCACCTTCTCGTATAGAGAGATGTATACGGAGGGAGTGATAGACGCGCGCATTGGGTTACCCGGTGGGAGCAGTGGCGCTGGGACAGGAATGAGTGTCTCAACGGGGTATGTCGTTGACGTGGGAGATGCCGTCGACTTTTGAGACTCCTTGGACTTAACCGCGGTGAGTTCCTTGGACGGGTCCTTGGACAGCTCAGAGCCGTCTGACACAGCGGCCGAGGCCTCGTTGCTCACTCGTTGCTGCAGAGAGTGCGCAGGAGAGGCTGGTGAGGCGGGTGAGGCGGGAGCGGGCTGAGGATGCGAGAACGAAGAGCGGAAAAACAGGCGGCGTGGTGAGAGAGGGGAGAAGGTCTGCGTAGGAGAGACGGGCTTGGTGCGAACGCGCACTGTTCTTGCGCCTGTCCAAGCATTGCGCCTTGCCTCGAAGCAAGCCAGCCCTTCATTCCATTCCATCTCCTCGCGCAGGGCTCGCCTTCTGCGCGCACGCTTGTCTGCTATAGACGCCTTGACTGTCGCGCCGATTGCATCGGGGCTATCGAAACGGAATGGAGAGAGAGATAGGGGAGGGTCTTCGTCGGACAGGTCAGACACCCATTCTAGGCGAGGCTTGAAACGCGCCGCGTCTTCTGAGACGGTGCTGTACACGGATTCGGCGTCGCTATCTTCCTCTTCGTCGTCGTCTTCTTCTTCGCTGTCTATTGTGTCGATGGCTTCATCACTCGAGGTCGCCGTAGTTTCGATCTTTGGTTCAGAGGCTTCTTGTTGCGGTTTTTCGGCGGTGTCTTGTTCGGGCGTTGCACTAACATCGGGTGTAGCATTGCCGTTTTGGGGCGGGCGTACGACTGGTGGCCAGACAAATTCCCAATCGTTGCGAATCTTGGCGGTCAAGTACTTCTTGACAGCTGCCTTTTGCTTTTCTTTGTCCTTGCTAAGTAAATCAGGATCGTAATCGGGCAAGTCCAAGGCCAGAGGCTGCTGTGACATGGACAGGCGGAACTTGGCCAGCGGTGAGCGTGGAGACTTGTACATGTCTGAAAAGAGCATCTTGGAGTCCGAGGAGGAAAGGTGTGGGTTTGGCTTTGACGGGGGGTTGGCCGACGGCGCAGCTGACGACGAAGGAGAGGCAGGAGACATGGGAGGCGAGTCGAGGGAAGAGGGATCGGGTGCCGTCCGCTTTATATGATGAGCAAGTGAAGCTCCGGGTAGGGTTGCCGTGGGCGTAGTAGCAGTAGCTGCTAATGCTGGCGTCGCAACGGCAGCCGCAGCCGTCTCCGTTGCAGTCGCGTGCGGGGTGGGCTGGTGGTGCGGGTGAGGGTGCGGGTGATGGAGCTGGGGCGCGCCTACGTCTGGATCCTGGACTGGAGCAGCTGGGACTGGGGTGATGGTCGCGGCCGCGGGTGGCCTGATGTTGGTTTCCAAGGGGGCTGGACTGTCAGTTATATCAATCCTGTCATGTATATGGCCTGTACGCTGTTTTGGTTTTGTGCAACACGACACTCATAAGTCATGCAACATGCACCGCATCCAGGGTGTTGTGAACAGAATGAAAACGGGGGTAAAGAAAGGAGGAGTGTAAGGAAGGGTAGTGCGTGCCACTCTTTGGCATCGTGTAGGTATGAAAAGGTAGGTATTATTGGGGTCAAGTGTCCGGCGGGCAAGCCAAGACGGTCCAGAACCTTGCTATGTCTATTCCACTTCTGTCTGTGTTGGGGCAACTTGGGGGGAGAGGCGCATGGGAATACCTAGATATAAAAAAAAAAAAAAGAAAAAAAAAAAAAAGGGAGAAGTGAAGAAAGGGCCAGGCTACACCAGGCAGTCGGACTTGATGCCTGTCGTACGTGTAGCGCGTGTGAAAGAGAAGGTCAAGGAGAGGAGGCAGAAGGTTACCAGGACCATCTCGGTTTAGCGTCCTGTGTCTCGGTTCACTCACCTTGATCTGATGAAGGAGGAGCGGTGACCTCGTTGCCGCAGAGAGTAGAGGCAGAAGCAGCAGCAGCAGTAGTAGTGGTCGAATCAGAAGCAGATGCAGATGCAGCTGTAGGGTGATGATCTTGTAGGCCGGGCATGGATGTAGCAGTGGATGGCGCCTCAGGGTGCGAAGAAGGTAAGGCCATGGTTTATGAAAGAGTGGGCTCGACCAGGACTATTCGTACTCCGTACATGTGTACGAGACGAGGGAAGGGACCGAACAGGGCGGTCCAGGGTCCAACAAGGCACGAAGTTCGTTCAGGCAAAGCAGAAAAGTCAGAAAGGAAGCGAAAGGCAATTCTGACTCTATTTCTTGCGCCTTGCGCTAGTTGGGGAAAGCACCCGCCGGGGCCAGTTTTTCCCTCCTTTAAGAAAAGGTGGGTAGGGATCCATCACCCATCCACTAACCCTCCCACGGAGTACCTACCTAAGGTACGGAGTAAGCTTCAAAAGTACAGACTCCAATGTCACCACCTCAGTCGGGATGTGCCCACAGCGGTTGGCAGTTGCACAGTTGCACTTGCCCTTGGGCCTGAGCTTGTGCCTGTCAGCAAGTGCCACATCCAGGTGTACTTACTTTGAATTATCGAACATCACGCAAAGTCACCTTGAGCCGGCAAGTTTGGTAAGGTAAGGTGCTTGCCGGCCTGCCTTCCTGATGGTACAACATGCGAACTCATTCACAAGGTCGGCCTTGCGCTTACGATGGTCAGGAAAGTGGGGAGACGGGGGAGAGGGTCTTTGGTGTGACTGTCCACGCGACATGGCTCTGCAAAAAGTTTGCCCTCCCAGAGTAACATCGCCATCGGCATCGGATCCGAACTCACCTTTCACCTCACAGAAAAGGATGCCATTGCCACTTGGTAAAATCTTGACGGTCAGCTGTCCCAGCCTGGCCTTTTTCGCCCCGTCGGTAATTATCGCGTCCATTTCCCTAGCACCTCTCTCTAGGTACTCTATGACCTAGAGTCCGAGAAAGAGGGTCCTCCGAGCTAGGAGACTGTCATTGGCTTGGCATGACAAAAGGAGGGGACCATGCCCAGCAGCTTCTGGCGAGCTGCAGCAGTTTGCTTGCTTGCTCGATATCTCTGGTAGCTTGCCTGCGGCTTGCTGAACCTCCCAATCTTCCAGAGTTTGCTAATTTGGTTCGCTGTTCTCGCTCCTGTTCACCGAACACTGACCAGTAAGGTAAGACTCCTGGTGTAGCCTGTAATAGGTCTCAACCGAACCCCCGTCCCGGCTTCTTGCAGGTGCAGATCCGGGGTGTGGTTGGCTCCCTGGACCGAGAGAGGAACATGAAATGAACCTCCCCGGACGCGGAGAGCTGCAGTCAACAACCACCACCTCATCAGTCAGTATTGGATCCAGTACAAGAGCAATTTACCGAGGTAGGTGCTACTATAGGGATGTAAGCTTGCTGACAGGAAGGAACAGAGTTCAACTCCAACCGAGAGTGAACCACCCCATGGATCATGACGTTGAACACTTCCATTCCATCAGAATCGTTCAACGGCACCGTCCGACGGTCAATCACAAACCCCATATTTCCTCCCCCCAGACCCGCTTCATCGTGCGCGCACCTTTTCTTATGGGCATCGCACCACTCGCACATATTGGCAGTAAATCTCGGGGATGGGAACCTAACTAATAGGTATCCCAAAGCAATTATCGTGCGACCGATATGGCCCGTCTATCGGGCCAAGCAGAGAGAGAAAAAGCAAGCTACCTACCCAAGCTTTGTCCAAGATCGCTACCATACTTGGCCTCGATCTGGCTGGCTCGGTGCTTAGCCTCGAGGTTGTTCACAGTATATTTTCGACCAAACCTCGGTCTAGCATCTTTGCCAGCCACCCTAGGTACTGTGAGATAGCACTTCCTTCATGGAAGACGCGCCCGCTCAGGAAGAAAATGCGGAGAACCTGAGCAACTGCAATTGCTTCAACTCTTTCAGGCAAGGTCTGAGGCGGGGGAGAGACACCACATGACTGACGCCTTCTCGCATCTGCAAGGATCCCCCCCCCCCCGCTGTGATTATATAAGCGAGAACCTATACTCCATCGTGTGGAAAGGTAAGGATCGTCGCTGTCGCATCACCCCACAGCCGGACCGCTCAAGTGTTGAGCGCTGAATTGACGACAGGGCGGCCAGCTCCGAGGCTCAATTCTCGGAACTTCGTGATTTGAAATCAGTGAGCTGATTTTTCTTCCCGGGGTTTTTAAGTTGCATGCTTCCGGGAACAAGGCTGATGCAATTGCAATGCAGGTCATGAGAAAAAAAAAAGTCTAGATCCGTTAACGTGGTTCATCAGTCAGCGACGAACTTTTTCCCAAATGCGGTTTGCATTAAACCACTCCAACCTTTGACGCGTAATAACTCCACAACCATTATGCCAATTTACACACAAGAAGACAAGATACTTCTAGCCATCTAGACTATCCGATCAGCCCGCGCCGCCGGCCGAAACCTAAGTATGTTGCGTGCTGCGAAGACTTACGGTGTCCCCGAAAGTTCCGTACGCCATAGAATGAACGATCGACCCCGACGCGAACGTGCCCAACCCCAACGACATAAACTTGATGCAATCGAAGAGAAAGCGCTTCTCCAATACGTTATTGAGCAGGATCAAAGAGGGTCTCCCTTGCGTCTCGCTGGTGTGGAAGATATGGCCAATCTCCTGCTACGAGCGCGTAATGGCAAGCCTGTTGGCAAGCGATGGGCCAGGCGGTTTGTGGACTCGCAGCCTGCTCTGAAAACCAAGTTTAATCGTCCATACGATTATCAAAGGGCTCTTCAAGAAGATCCTGAGGTTATATCAAAGTGGTTTGCGCTGTTACGCAATATGATGGCCAAGTATGGCATCCAAGAGGGGGACCTATATAATTTCGACGAAACTGGCTTTATGATGGGCATGATCACCGCGTCAATAGTAGTAACACGCGCTGATCGACGCGGCAAAGCAAAGTCTGTCCAGCCTGGCAACCGTGAATGGGCTACATTCATTGAATGTATCAATTCGGGCGGGTGGTGCATCCCTCCGTTCGTGATTGTCAAAGGCGCATATCACCTTGCTAGTTGGACCACGGAATCAGGTTTTCCTAGCGACTGGGTTATCAAACCTACCAATAATGGATGGACGGATAATCAGACGGGTCTTGACTGGATTAAACACTTCGACAAACATACTAAGAACCAAATGAAGGGCGTCTACCGGATGCTTATTATCGACGGCCACGAGAGCCATTTATCGGCCGAATTCGACAATTACTGCAAGCAGAACAATATCATAACCGTCAGTATACCTGCACATTCGTCACATCTACTACAGCCATTAGATATTGCCCTTTATTCGCCTTTAAAACGTGCATATGGTGATGAAATCAACCTATTCATCAAAGCCTCCATAAACCATATCACCAAGTCGGAGTTCTTTATTGCCTTCTACCAGGCCCACAACAAAGTTTTTAATGAAGAAAACATTAGGGCTGCTTTTCAAGGCGCTGGAATTTCACCATGGAACCCAGAGCATGTCATTGAAAAGCTTGATGTACGTTTACGGACGCCTACACCTCCTGTGGCCAACCCTTCAACACCACCACCTTGGCAGTCGCAAACGCCCTCTAACCCACAACAAACCGTCTCGCAGTCCAATTTTATCAAAAGTCGGATCACTGCTCATCAAGGAAGCTCACCAACGCCAATTATTGCTGTAGTTGAGCAATTGTCAAAGGGTGCGCAGGCAATGGCGCACTCAATCACTCTTTTGACTGATCGGCTTCGTACCCTTGAGGATGCGAATGTTGCACTTGGTAAGCGCCGGAGGGCTAAAAGGACGCGGGTCCAGCTTAGAGGGGCGCTTAGTATAGAGGAATCTCAGGTTTTGCTTGAAGGGAAACAAAAAGGGAAACGTCCAGCACCTCAAGAGGATGAGGAGGGGGGTCCATCAAAGAGAGCCCAGCCAGCTCGGAGACGCTGTGGTATGTGTGGCGAGACCGGTCATAATGCGCGAACCTGTTCTAAGGATACGGAATTGTCAAATGATTCGAGTAGTAATGAGGAATAGTTAATTCAATGTGTTGTGGTTGTGCAATAGTAAATACCATTACGTGCATGGGAAAAAGTTCGTCGCTGACTGATATTCGTCGCTGACTGATGAACCACGTTACTTGGTTATCAGCTACTCCTGATTATGTGTACTGTGAAATGGTGCCAATTTTCGCCCCAGCGCCGTCCACTCCCCCTAAACGACGTCTTTTGACCTACGGAGGTACCTCCCATCTGCGTTTCAGGTGTCCCCGTAACTTGAATACAGCTTGTGTTATTCCCCGAAGAAAAACGGAACAACCAAGTCGCAAGAAAGGGGGTGCGCATCAGTCTTTCTATGCGACTTCCTCAACCATCTTGCCAGACTTCAGACCTCCAGACACAAATACCTTGCCAGCTGGTCCTCCGATGATCTCCTCAGGCACAGCAATGATGCTGCCCTTCTTGGAGTTGACCCAGCGGACGAACGCGACGTCGGGCTTTGATGACTCGGGCGTGTCCTCGCCGTTGGCGCCCTTGCCCTTGGTCTTGGGCGCCTGTTTCTTCAAAAGCTTGTTGATGGTTTCCATCTGTAGTCTGGCAGTTAGCATATGCCCTGCAAATGACCGGACATCCACAAATATACTTGCCTTGACTTCTTCATTACGCTTGTCAGACAGATTGCGTCGTCGACGTGCCATTTCTGCTCTTCTCATCGATAACTCTTCCGCAGTGAAGACCTTCTTTGCTTGGACCTCTGTTGTGATAATAATGTCAGTGTCTGCCTTTGTCAAGATTCCTCGTAAATAGCGCAGCCTTACCGTCCGAGAGTTTCATGTACTGCTGAGGCTCGTCCTCGAAGCGAGCCCGCTGTCTCCTCGTCATCTTAGTCAAGTCGGGTGTGCCCTCGCGACTGCCTAGATCGCTGTCGAGCTCGCCTTCGGCACCCGCTCCCACAGTCTCGTCCGCGACTTCAATCTCCTCTTCCTCCTCGCCCTCGGCGTCTTCTTCGTCGCCTTCGGCATCTTCCTCTTCACCTTCGGCATCCTCTTCGTCGTCTTCGTCGTCCTCGTCGTCCTCATCATCGTCGTCGCCGGCGCCCCCAACGTCGATGCTCATGTTCATCGTGTTCTCAGGGTCACTAACTTCAATCTCGCTGAGCTCCTCCTCGTCATCGTCATCGTCTTCAATCACTCTCGCCGCTGCTGGTCGTCTAGGAGTGACCTTTCCAGCCTTGGGCAAGGAGATCTTGATGGTGGGGGCCGCAGGGGTGTCCATGTCGATGTCGCCATCGGCATCTTCCTCCTCGCCCTCGGCGTCGACTTCCATGTCGTCGTCATCGCCATCAGCGTCAGGCTCCTCCATTTCCTCGTCTTCGTCTTCTTCCTCCTCGTCGCTGTCGGATTCTACAACGTAGCTCTTTTTCGGGCCACGGTTGCGTCTGCCGGCAACGACCTCGCTGTTGACCGAAATGCTGTTTCCCGTCGAGTTCCGTCCCCTGCTGGTGGCCTCGCGAAGCTTGTTCGCGGGTACCTTGACAGTGAGGTTCAGGTGCTCACTTCCTGGTGACGAAGGCGGGCCGCGGGATACGCCCGAGGTCCGGCCATCTGAGCGGCGAGCACGGGTAGACATGCTGCTGGTTCGCTCGCTATCGGCCCAGTCAGTAATCTGTTCTTGCGCCTTCTTGGCCGCCGAGCGGCGTGGTCGCGAAGCCATGTCTGGGTATATGTGAAGGCGATCTGTCTCTCGTGGGTGGTCTTGGCAGAAGAACAATGACGCGCGAGAGGATCACGCCACGTATGAGCGGTTTATGTACGGAATGAAGATGGGTTATCTCGGGGTGAAAAGGTTTAGGGTGGTTTCGGGATGATGGTGGGGGAGTTTTTTGTCCAAGATTGGACGCGGGAGGTTGAATTAAGGTAAGCTCGGGGGGCCGGTCCAGACAAGGAAGGGGAAGGGGAAGGGGTGAGGTGGCACTGCTGCTAGGGAATCTGATCCCTTGATACGGAAGATGAGGTAAGGCAATAAATGTAGTTGGCCGAGATGCAACTTAAGCCCAGGTAGGTTTCAACGCCTTCTTTTTCTTAATGAATCGCACACACGCGCGCGGGCGCCTTTTCTGGTTTCTTCCTAAACCACCTCTCGTCTCGACACGGCCACTTTCCAATGGGACTATCTCGTGGAATCAAATCGGATTCGTGGCGTGTGCACAACCCCGGCCAATACGGTCTTTCTTTCTTCTCAGAGACGTTGGTTTGTGTATCGGTGTCGTTGCCGCTTGCCTCACTTGACTTGGCACGGCAATCCGGCGATGTTGATATTGTGATTGAAGGAGGAGAGAAGGTTGATGATGATGGATGTGCAGCGCGGAGATGTGACGGAGTGACAAGAAAAAGCTAAAAAGGACCAGGTCGTATCTGCGATGGGATTTTGAGCTTACCGATTGATTGATACCTTGTTGAGGATAGACGACGCTTAGTCGCAGCAAGCAAGATGCGCGCGCGCAAACAGGCGGACGGCAAGTGGGATGGATAATCGCCTTTTTGGTGGCCTATCGCCCTCACAACTGGATAACCAGGCACACACAGCAGCAACCTTGCTGGGAAGTCTGGGACGGTTTGGTGGCTGTGGCCAAGCCAAGCCGCAGAAGGCAGAAAAAAAAAAAGTGAACCCCCTGGAAACGGGAACTGAGACTTTTGGGATCGATTGGATCTCGTCGCCTCTTGCGCGTGTATTGCAGCTGTCGCTTCTTTCTCTTTCTGCGTCTCTTTCGTGTGACGCTTGCTTTCTCACCCCCCTGGCGCGTGAGATTTCGTTCCTATCCCCTTTACTTTAGCGAGTCCACTTCAACTGTTTCCTGCTCATCTGATGCCAAAGATAAGCAATTGGCCCGGTGCGAGCTCACCTTTGATCCTTGGTCGCGCGGTGAGGTGTGTCGGTGAAGGCGGCCCAGTTGAAGGGACGAGTTGGAGATCGTCGGTGACCACGCGGCAGAGCGAATCGGATGATCCCGATTGAGAGCCTTTGTTGGCTTGAAACAGGAGTGAACCTGGTATAGAGCGTACCTTGAGGGGATTTTCGAGGCGGGCGAGAGATGGATAACGATTGCTATAGTTGAGACGGACTCTCAATGAGAATGCTTGTGCTGGTCCGGTTTCCTACTCAACTTGAGTTCAGCCTTTCACCTTTGCAGCCCAGAGCACTGAAGTCCGCTGAAGCGCGCGCCGGATGTCGAAAACGGAAGCCCCATTTTTGGGGGTGGTCGCCATGGGCACCGTGCATTGGACGTCCCACCGTGTAGAACTGAAGGACCCAGACCAGCGAGTAGCCTGGCCGTTATGGGCTGGAACAGTGACCCCGTAAAGAACGTCCAGCCTCTTCCGTTTCCCGCTTCCCCAGCCGAGGCATGTGGTCATAGGTGCCGAACCGCCGACCCCATCAACAACCCGCCCTCCGGACCAGCGCCCGGCTGATTCGCGATTCGACATTTGCGCCAATCTCGACAGCTCTCACATATACTCCGTTGCAGACCTTCCTACTGCAACAGGGGCGCAAACCATTCTAACCATGAGCGACTCCGACGACAGCGGCAGCACGCCGGGCATCCCGTCATGGCAGCGCGACCAAAAGAAAGAACCCGAACTCGAGCCGGAGACCACCACCTCGGAGGATACGAAGCAGGACGATGCCCCCTCCCGCGAGGACAGCCTCGAAGTCGCCCGCAAGTTCCTGCAGGATGACGAGATCAAGGACGCGCCGAGGGAAGCAAAGGAGACTTTCCTTAAGACAAAGGGAATCTCGCCAGAGGATATAAAGCAGCTGTTGGGTAGCTCGGCATCTGAGCCGGCGCAAGAGGTATGCTTCCCAGTTTTTCTTTGCCTTCGGGTTGCCTTCATTCTAAGAGAGCGCATAACTGACAATATGAATGAAGACCACTCAATCAGAACAGGCACCGCCAAGCTCAAGCCAAGTAACGACAACATCACCAACACCATCACAGACACCCTCACCCTCACCACAACCACCGCAAACCGAAATCTCCCTCCCCCGCCAAACAGACCAACCCCCCGTGATAACCTACCCCGAATTCCTCACAAAACCAACCCGCCCCCCGCCGCTCGTCACCGCAAACGGCATCCTCAACACCCTCTACGCCTTCGCCGGCATCTCCACCCTCCTCTACGGCACGAGCAAGTACCTCGTCCAACCCATGGTCGAAAACCTCACCGAAGCCCGCTACGACCTCCACGAGACAACCTCCCAGAACCTGACCAAGATGATCGAGAAGCTCGAGGGCACCGTCTCCGAGATCCCCGCCCCCAAGAAATCTGCGGCAGTAGTAGAGAACAAGGACATACCAGACGACGACGCAAGCAGCGCCGACGACCCGACCGAAATGTTCCACCGCGACATCGGCACGCAGACCTCGATCCCCTCCACACCCTCCTTGACAACCTGGAGAGAGACCAACAACAACGCCAACAGCAGCGACAAGGACAAGTCCGCAACAGACAGACAGGCCGACAAGCTAACCTGGTTCAAGAACCAAGCCGCCTGGCTCAAGACCACAGTCGTAGGCGACGCCGACGACGTGGCGGACCTAAAGGCCAAGATGGACGTGCTCAAGGACGACCTCGTGCAGCTCGCGTACCCGAGCCCGTCGGACTACGCAGGGGGCAGCAGCTACGCGCTGTACGGCGGCCCGCGCAAGAACGAGCCCGAGGACGAGATCAAGAAGGCGAGGGACAATATTCGGAGGGTCAAGGGGGTGTTGCTTAGCACGAGGAACTTCCCTGCTTCTGCGAGGTGAATTCTTTTGGCCCTTGGTAGATAGAGACGGATCTTTTGTCAAAGCTTGCGTTGGCGGGCACTGAACCGGAGGGTTTTTTTTATGAGGATGAGGAATTTGTATCATATCAGTGAAAGGCTTATAATGGAACTGACGACTTTATTTACCATTGCTGGACACGTCAGTCGTACAAATTGGGCACTATGGCGATATCTGTCACTATGGCGGTGTATTCTGTCGATACCTTTGCCTGTATGAAGAGAATACAGCTTAACATGCCTGGTTCACTTGCAGTACATGTATAATTACAAACTGAAGTTGTCATCTGCAGAAAGCGCTTGGAAGTTTTTAGTTCCCTATCTTATCCTTGTTATACGTTGACTCTAACTCCTGGCGTATCCTTTCCGTGTCAGGCCTATTAGAATACATTGATCACACAACGTCCTTCAAATCCAGAAGCTCTTTTCCTCAGACCCCTGATGCTGCTACTCCGAAACGTGTCTCCTCCATTTCGCAATCGTACGGCTAAATCCGTCTGCACGACAACACGTTTGCTCACTTTTTGCCGCTCTCTCGCGACTCCGTCTTGCCCTTCGGGGGTAGGATTCGTATAAGTTCAAACACCCGCTCCCAGGAAGCAACGTTGAGGTGCTCGAAATGCCTGTTCTCGGAAACCTGCTGCTGATACCACTCCGTGGTCGGTCTGAACGTGTAAGGCCACGCGGAACGAGGATTTCTTCTGTCAAGGCTCATCACCCAAGTGTAGAAAAAATTCTCACATCTGCTCTGCCCCGTCGGATTGATGGCCCTGGGCGGATGGAAAATAATCTTGCTCTCGCCGCCATGATTGCGATGGCCGCCAATCATGTCAATGTCCATTGGAGAGTCTGCGGAATGACGCTCTTGCCAGACGGGCGCGTCGCCGGGAGTAATCTTGCGGAAACCCCTGCGGAGCAGAAGAGTGTCAATCACTGGAAGATATAGCTTGCAGTCTGACATCATCACGTTCAAGTTATGGACGGTGACGTCGACTGGCAATGTATACTCTGAAGGCTCTGTTTCGAATCCACCTTGCCAGACCTCCAGCAGAGGAAGGCCCCGACGTTTGGCTTCAGATCGTTCCCGTACCATCTGTAAGAGGTGCTGCTGCGCCTTGAGGAGTTGAGACTCGTAGATCTCGTTCGCTGCGGAATATCGATTCTTGGCCGCAACGTCCCAAATAATAAGCTCGGTTCCCATCCATTTCTTATAAGGTTCACGAACCCGCCAAATCGCAAGCCATGGATGGCGCGGTGGCGGCTTGCTTGGATGGTCTTCTTCGGGGGTGTAGAAAAAGGCGAAGTAGGTATTGAACGTCGGCGGCAGATGATAGGAGGCCGCCGGTGGCTTGAAACCCTCCTGGTGGATTGAGAAGAACGGCCAGGGCCACTCCATCCACTTGTCGAAAGTTGAGAAGTCGCGATGGAAGTCTCCATAAGAGTCAGCCGTATTGGCAACGTCTTCGTAATAGGAGACGGCAAAGCCGAAGAGCTTCCCAAATGGACACGCTCTCGGACGTTCATGGCGGCTGGCGATGGCCTTCAACTTGCTCTTGAAGTGGTTGGCAGACAAGCCTCCAAGAAGTTTACTAACTCTACTTTCTGGTCCAAGGTTATTGTCGGAACCTGACGTGGTCTGACGGGGACCATGAGCCTCGGCTCCCACATCACGCCCAACCCCAAACGGGTAGACGGGAATGTCGCTGTCTTCGATCAGGTGGCTGTTGTCGGAATCGCCATCTGTTCCTAAAACATGGAACTTGCGGAACTGGTCGAAACGAGTCTGGGACCAACAACCGAACCAATTCACCAAGCTTTGCTCGTCGTTGGCATCGATAGATCCGTCAGCAAACACAATGGCTTCCAGCTGCTCATCCGGCACGATGCTTATTTCTATAGCCGGCTGGAGACCCTCCACTATCGCCCATGTCTCAAATCGAGCTGTGCAATCTTCTTTGCTCAATCCTGCAACGCGTGCTATTTCCTCACGCTTCGACTTTGGCCACTGGCGCGTTAGGTCACCATCCGCCATCAACTCGTCCCGACGGGCGGACCGCTCGTGCGCAAGATCTCGCAGATACTCCCGTATATTCGCCGCGGCCACAATTTTTTGGTTATTGGTAGGCTTCTGATAGGTCCTATGGTACCACTGAAAGAGTTGGAAGGCACGGCGTGGTTCAGAGACCAGAAAACTTGGCGTGACCAAAATTGCGGTACCGTGGGGGAAAAACCTCGTCAACTCAAACGTGCCCGGCTTTGCCGTCTCGTTATGCATTGACCGAATGGATGGGTACGCGGGAGACAGCTGAAGTGACTCTCCAATACACCAAAAGACGTAAGCTGCACTGCTCTTATGCAAAAGCAGCTTGAGCAAACCAGGGAACCGTCGGAGTGAATCGGCGGCTGCCTCGTGAACAATGATAACTCCTTGCGCAACGATTTTCGGATTGCTAAAAGCGGCCCAATCGCCATTCGTTTTAGTAGAGAATATCCTACATTCGGGATTCTCCGAGCGAAGCCACTCGCTCACAGCCTCAAGTAATAGTATTCTAGATGGAGGAAACGCCAGGTAGAAGTCGTGGCGTACGCTTCGAATGCCAGGGGGGAGGATCGTGTGGTAATCGAGGCGTAGCAAATCGCGGAAAATGGTAACCCGCGAAGCTATCTTTGAAATAATGACCTGCCTGACGGGTAAAGGCTTCTTAGCAGCCTGCTGAGGCTTGAAGATGACATATTTCAGGGAGACATGTGCCGGGCTGTGAGCTTCGACTTCAGGCATTGATTGCTTCCAATCTTCACACTGAGCTGGGTAAATGACGATGAGAAAGTCTTCATAGAAGCACGCAACCCCAAACGACCCTGATCGTAGTCGCTCTGCTGCTCTCTCCACAACAACTTGGTCGTCATTTGACTTGGGCCTGACGCTTCCATTTGAGAGCACCCTTTCGACAACGACTGCCCTTTGAGAGGCGAAAGTCTTGGCAGTGAAATTTCTGGCGAAATGGAGCAATTTCTCGTCAACGAATTGAGAATGCCATGCTTCGGAGTCGACTCTAACGTTATCAAACGTCATTTCGATGTCCTTGCTTCCCTGAGGACCCAAGACCACAGTTTTGTCGTAGTTTTGGCCTGTACTTCTCGACTTGTAGTCTGTTATCGATAACTTGCGAAGGACAGACTGAGGCTTGGTAGGAGGTTGAGAAGGCTGTGACGGATCTGAAGGCATCGGGGGCGACTTGAGTCTTTTCGGCCGAACAGTCGGATAGTCCACATCCATCTCTTCTGGCTCATCAACAAGCGGAACATCTGCAAACTGAACAGACTTCCTTTTCTTGGTCGTTGGCTGAATAGTCTGGGACTGACCCAAGTTCTGAGGGTGTGACACCCCCACCCTCTCCGACGCCGTCACACTGGACTCGCTGGCTGACCTTGCCGACAGATCATCGGCCGAGCGCTTAAGTACAGACCGAGGGATGGTAGTGGTGGTACTGGTGTTCGGAGCGATGTTTGTGCTGGTGTTTGTACCGGTAGTGGTTCCAGGAGGAGGCCCGCGGCTGATGCTGAATAGCTTCGTAGGGACAGCCGTGGGAGCCACATCTGCTTTGTCACGACCTTGTAACTCGACTTTTCTCTTGGTTCGGTGGTTTGAAAATAGACGAGCATCTTTGGTGGGATCGACCACGTTCTGTACAAGTAGACGGCGCTGCTTTGATTGCTTGCCGGCCGCAAAGACATTGATGCCCGTTCTGCTGTTCTGTGATCTAACCATCGTTCTGGAGCCCACAGCAGTCTTTTTCGCCTTATGAGTGGTCCGCGCAGTTGCTGTCGCACTACCCGGCAACCGGCTAAGTGTCGCATTATTGACCGGTCTGCTCGCCGAAGGCTTCTTCTTTGCTGTGCCTTGATGTCCGTTCGCCGCTGCCTGTGTTGAAGATGTTTGTGAGCGTGGCTGAGGGCTTGAAGAGGATTGTGCCTTTCTCGTTGGTGATTTTGGTCTCTCTGTCGCTGAAGCCCGTTTCTGAGCAGTTGGTTTCTCCGCAACTTCCTGCTTTGGTGGGATCTTGGAGGGTTGAGTGTCAGGATGAAACGCATCCTCGCGACGCCCCACAACCTTTGGAGGAGGAAACACAGCGTTGTATTCATCATCTCCAACGTCTTCGTCGCTGAGATAGTAATCCGCCTTGGTTTCACCCTCCCACAGCCTAAGCTGAATACCTCGTTTTTTCCGTTCAGCATTACGCTTGTGATGCCGCTGGTATTTGTCCTCATGACGCTTGACCACGCTTTCTTGCCAGGCGACAATGTCGAACGGCTGCTCCTCTCCTCGAGCTTGCTTTGCCTGAGTGTCTTTCCATTCCCCAAGTAGCTCATTCGTCACATTTTCCTCGGGCTCCCATGTGGCCTCCTCAATGGGATAACCGGTCCACTCTACCAGGAATTTGTCTCTTCCACCTTCGCGAATCTGAGCACGGATGCCCTCCACAAGCCATTCCTCGTCGGAATCATGTTCGGACGCGAGGGTGGAGTTGATGGAGATGTTGTCATCGTCAGGTTGCGTTTCATCGGCGACGAAAAGCCCGGAAACGTCCATGGCGCGCTTATACTCTGGAGAGCATAGTTAGAAGGCACGCGAGAAGGACACGCCGTGGTTGTACGTGTGAGCTGTTCCCACAGGCATTCGATGCACCGGAGGCTGATGCACTCGGATGACGATGCAAATGTTGATACGCCAGGTAGCAGGCCTAGTGAATGCGACCGCACGCTGTCCTGGAGCGGAAAGAGGAACCTCTAATGCTCGAAGCGTAGTGCTGATCGGGCGAGGGTCGAGAAAGGTTGAGTAGGCAAACAGAATGGAGCTCTTGTCATGAATTTGAGTGTAATTGTATGAACTAGGGAATAGTAAGCGATGAGTTTCTCGGGCGAGGTAATCAGAACATACCAGCAGAACAGATCGCGTACCTACTCGTCGGGTATCGAAGAGTACCTAGTCAAGTCCTTCAAGGTAGAGAGGGGCGGGAAAAGTGGAAGTTTTGTACTGAAGTAAAATCAGGTATGTACTTAATTGCTGGCGTGGAATTCGGCGCGAAAAGCAACGATTCAACATCGAAGATGCACCGGGGCGGTGGGAGAGCGTTTACATGCAGGCATTGGCAGCATGGGCAGGTAGGTACGGAGTGGAGGGCATCCCGTCGTCCCTTTGAGGAGGTGCCAACAGTGTCCGTGCGGTAGTCCAGGGAAGGTGCCACGGTGCGATGGGTGCCTTCAGTGTTCACATTTCTTCAACTACCTACCCACGCACGCCACGCTACCTTAATGATGGCGGAAGGCAGTGCGTAGCGTCTTAGCGTGCATAAAGCGATGTCCTGTAGGCAGTCGGATAAGAAGCAACTTTCCATCAACCATGTATATTATAGTTAAGGATACCTTATCGGATCCTTCCTTGAGAATCGGCATATGTAAGGTAAGGTATAGAAAGCCCTCTACGGATACCTACCTCTCTGGTCAACTAATAAATCAGCTGGGTACGGTAAGTGCGAATAAGCAAATGTGAACCTCTCCTGCCAGTATTGGCGACTCAAAGATGATCACCTCAACTGGCAAGGAAACTGTTCAAAATCTACCCCACCTGATCTAGACAACTTCCATGTAGAACCTAAGCTACCTGTGATTACAAACCTCAGTGGTAACCAAAGCTCAGATTGCCCCAAAGCTCGTGTCCTGGACGCCGCAATCTGGAAGTTTGTGTCAAACATGTAGCGTTGAAGATAGAGTGCTGTGGCTTGGGGGCACTGCGTCTAAATGGACGACGTCAGCTTCCTTGGTACTTCAGTACAGACCAAGCTGTGTGTGACACTCAGGGCACATGGCGAGCTGGGTCAGAGGAAACGACATGAGGCACGCTGGGGTTGTCCTCTCTGAGCACCGCGGCTTGGGCACACGTGATGCTTGAGGTGAAACGCAACACTTCCGGCTACCGACGGCGGGATCCCGTCCTGGGACCTCACCAGCACCTCAGTCAACTGCTGACCTCTTTACATCCTGTCAATCTTCGAGGCAGACGAGGGAGACGCCGATGTGACGAACGTGGTTGGTGCATGCCCGGCGGTGGTGTGGCTCAGCGGGTTCAGCACATCCGGGAACGTGGAGCACCTCATCCTCCCCCTTCGACTTTGATGTGCCCGGGCAGGGAATGGGTAGCAAGTGATGGGAGCAAAGGCATTGATCACCTTTTTGTACTTTCCTTGTCAGCGTGTCGTCTATCTACCTACATTCATACCAAAGCACCTCTTTGACCTTCCTGCATACCTATTATGGATGTTCCAATTACTAGACAACCCCACCAGTTGATGATCTGGCAGCAGGGAGATGCTGAACTAATGGTTTCTAAAAACACCATAAGTGGCTTTATGATTTTGATTGTACCTTTGAAATACACGCCCTTTTTCTTTCAGAAATAGATCTTTTGTTACTCCGGGGTTTGGATATCTCCGTCTCCTACTCATCTGCTCAAAAGCGCATAAGGTAGTCGTCCATATCAAAAGTTGACGAGAGTTCTATCTATCTCGCGGTACCTGAAGGTATCTCATCAACTTGCACCACATGTTAAAGTACCTTGGCTGTCGAGGTACCTCCTGTACTCCCAATCTTCGAGCATTCGGGACCCGACAAGCCCCCTTTGCCGCCCGGGCTGCCTTGGGAAGGGAACAATCCCCAGCGGCACCCCCTAACTTCAGGTATCTAACGCGCCCAGGTACCTGACACCCGCCTCACCTAGTTACCTTACCTCAGGTACCTTACGCCCGACTTCCCTTCTTTCAGTGGCTGGTCCCTCTCTGGGGTAGGTGCCTACCGACCCTCCGGGCGAGCGAATCTCTGTGGCCTCTATACCTTACCTGAGCTGCCCGGGTGCCGACACCACCACCTTACCTCAATCTTTGCTGCCTCACCCACCACACTATGCTGCCTTGACCTGCACTGTCCACCTCTCTCATTCTCGTTCAGTTCCAGACCCTTACACCTTGCCTCGCCTCAACTCAACTGCTTTATCTCTCGGGGCCGCGCACCACCTCCATCGAGCCGCAGTATCCTCGCTTCGCAACACCAACGAACCTACACCTCCCCAGACACTTGTCCATCGCATTCGCAACACAAACCGACATCATGGCCAACGACGAATATGACGTGAGTCTCTCCAGCTGCAATCCCCTATACCCCTTGGCCCTACTGCCACCCCTCTCCCTCTCCAACTGCTCTCCAGTCCCCCTCCTTGCGCTAACTTGAAGCCTCCTACAGTTCCTCTTCAAAGGTGCGCCAACGACCGATCCGACCCTGCGACGTTATCGCATAGTGGCCACAGGCTTTCTCAAGGGCCAGCTGACAATTTCATCTTCTAGTGGTGTTGATCGGAGACTCGGGCGTCGGAAAGTCCAACCTTCTCAGTCGATTCACCCGCAATGAGTTCAACCTGGACTCCAAGTCGACAATTGGCGTCGAGTTCGCCACTAGATCCATCCAAGTCGACTCCAAGACGATCAAGGCACAGATTTGGGATACCGCCGGCCAGGAACGCTACCGCGCCATCACTTCGGCCTACTACAGAGGAGCTGTCGGTGCCCTCCTTGTCTACGACATCAGCAAGCATCAGACATACGAGAACGTCACCCGGTGGTTGAAGGAACTGCGAGACCACGCCGATGCCAACATCGTCATCATGCTTGTCGGAAACAAGAGCGATTTGCGCCACCTGCGAGCAGTGCCTACAGAGGAGGCAAAGGCTTTCGCCAGTACGTTGCGGTGAAGCGTCAGGGGGGGGGAGCGCCGTAGACCCTGAGTTGGCTAACCGGTGCTCTAGGCGAGAACCACCTTTCATTCATTGAGACGTCTGCCCTCGATGCCAGCAACGTCGAGCTTGCATTCCAGAACATCTTGACCGGTTCGTCTACTCCCCCGTCTTGCAACTCGCCTACACAAGTCGGGTATCTGGTGACATTCAAGTGCTAACGTGACTCGCCTCGCTGCAGAGATCTACCGCATCGTATCCAGCAAGGCCCTCGACTCGGGCGACGGACCCCAAGCCTCCATCGGAGCCGGCGCCGGCATTTCGCTCAGCACGCCTGCGGACAACAGTGCAGAGAAGAGCGGCAAGTGCTGTTAAGCGAATCCCCTTCTGCGAAACTGTTTCACGGCCTTTCGGGAGGGCTGCTACGGTCGATATCATGGCATGTCACACACATGCCCCGGAATCTGTACGTCACTTGGTCAAGGAGGGGCTGCTGCATCGAGGAATGACTAGGAATCCAATGAGTCTTTTTTATGATTTCCGAGGGGACGGAGTATAGTCTCGGCCTTTCTTTTGTTCTCCTTTATACGGCTCAGTGCGGCTTGTCTGGGATTTGACGTTTCTGACGATCGCTCCGACATGCTTACGTAGTTGAATGAATCCATCTTAATGCCTTGAGGGTCTTCTAGGCTGATTTGGTGATGTGCGAAGTCTTTTTTGGCATTTCCATCTGACGGCCGGCCCGTCTTCGCCATATAACATACTCACTGCAGCCAAGATACCGCTTGGCGAGTGTCCTTGGAGTGTAATGGTACCTGGAATAAACGGGTCGCATCGTTGGCCGCCTTCAACCTGAACGGGAAGTGTTCGTGAGTTCTGACGTACCCCTTCTGAGTAGGGATTTTGCGGTCATGACAGGTGTTCCTCTGAACCCAAGGTGGCTTCTTCCCCTGGCCCAGCTCAATATCTTAGTGGTCAACCCAGCCATGCCTTGACATTGAAGTACCGCATTCCCAAATTTGGGGTCTTGCTCGAGCCATGTCCTGGCATCACACTGGTCAGGACGTCTTGAAGCGCTCCAGCAAAGTGAAATTGAGGTGGGCATGCAAGCTTGCTGCGATCCACAAAGTTTCTTTCCCCCCAGCCCGCGCTAGGTACTCGTAGGTCCTTCGGTCCCCTCAAGCCTGGCCCTGCCCCTCGAGCCCCCCTCTCGCTCTTCAGTTGGGTTAGCCTACGTTTTTGTTCTTGTCTCCCCTTCTGTGGCACACTCTGACACGGTCTGGGCGACAGGGCAGAGGGAACGAATGCGCGCAAGTCAGTTACGTACCTCGCTCACTCATTAAAAAGGTTCCAGGTGCACAGGCACCACAGGGGAACCTTCTCAAGTGGGTGGGTGCCCCGCTACACCGGGTCACCGCCTTGCCGATAAGCTCTCTTATCGGACGTCCAATCCGTAGCGGGAAGAAAAAAATTTGGGCTGGTCGCAAACCGTCGGCTTCTACTTTCTGCAGTGGGCTGCGATATCTTCTTCGCGTCAAACATCAATCTTCGACGCTGCCAGCACACCCCCACACCACCTTCGTAACCCGACAAGATGGCTTCCGTGTACAAGTCATTGTCCAAGAAGGCCGACAAGCCTGAGGCGCCCACCAATGGCGTCAAGAAGGTGCGCCAGAAGAGGCGCGCTCTGGTTCTTTCAAGCAGAGGCGTCACTTACAGGTAAAGCTCCGCCAACAAATCTTCATATGCCACGGCAGTCTTGCTGACCTTTTACCTCGACAGACACCGACACCTGATGAGCGATATCGCGT